GGAACATCTGGCTCACGGGAACAGCTGATTCACGGGAACAGCTGACTCACGGGAACAGCTGATTCACGGGAACAGCTGATTCACGGGAACAGCTGACTCACGGGAACAGCTGGCTCACGGGAACAGCTGGCTCACGGGAACAGCTGACTCACGGGAACAGCTGACGGGAACAGCTTCACGGGAACAGCTGGCTCACGGGAACAGCTCACGGGAACAGCTGGCTCACGGGAACATCTGGCTCACGGGAACAGCTGACACGGGAACAGCTGACACGGGAACAGCTGATTCACGGGAACAGCTGACTCACGGGAACAGCTGGCTCACGGGAACAGCTGGCTCACGGGAACAGCTGACTCACGGGAACAGCTGATTCACGGGAACAGCTGGCTCACGGGAACAGCTGATTCACGGGAACAGCTGACTCACGGGAACAGCTGATTCACGGGAACAGCTGGCTCACGAGAACAGCTGATTCACGGGAACAGCTGGCTCACGGGAACAGCTGGCTCACGGGAACAGCTGACTCACGGGAACAGCTGATTCACGGGAACAGCTGACTCACGAGAACAGCTGACTCACGGGAATAGCTGACTCACACTACCAGCTGACTCACGAAAGAGATAAATTACCTTTACCTAAAAGAACGTTATATATGTCAACAAAAACAATAAACTTATGAAATATTTGCTAAAAGTCATGTGATGGTGATGGGTGGTGGTGATGGGTGATGGTGATGGATGATGGTGATGGGTGATGGGTGATGGTGATGGATGATGGTGAGGGTGATGGTGATGGTTGAGGGTGATGGTGATGGGTGATGGTGATGATGATGGTGATGGGTGATGGATGATGATGATGGTGATGGATGATGGTGATGGATGATGAATGAGGTGAGAGAGAGAGAGAATAAATTAAGTCACAATGAACAACACACAGGTGTACCATATATCATTACCAGGTGTGTTATAGATTATATAATTAGTAGTTATAGCATTAAGTTCCCCTGTGTGATAGAGCGTTCTAGAAGGGGAGAACAGGAGGCCAGTTATTATGAGGGCGATTACACCAATTATAGGGAATTTACTAGTAATTATAGGCAACACTAGTAATTATAGAAAATTTACTAGTAATTATAGAAAATTTACTCGTAATTATAGGCAATATACTAGTAATTATAGGCAATATACTAGTAATTATAGATAACACAAGTAATTATAGGTAACATACTAGTAATTACAGAAAATTTACTAGTAATTATAGGGAATTTACTAGTAATTATAGATAACATACTAGTAATTATAGGCAATATACTAGTAATTATAGATAACACTAGTAATTATAGGTAACATACTAGTAATTATAGGCAATATAGCACAATTTATATAGGCATACATAGCACCGCTGTTAATATTTTCATTATACACGTATATTTTTCATTCATACATTATTATTTATACTCACTATGTATAATTCTGACCCATACACCACCACCATTTATCGCACAATACACACACCCTCTATGTATAATTCTGACCCATACACCACCATTATACACTCACTCATTTGTCAGGTATACAGTGCTATTTTACAGTGATGAAATATGAATGTGTATAAGCCGAGTGTATGCTGCCATGTGTATAAGCCGAGTGTATGCTGCCATGTGTATAAGCCGAGTGTATGCTGCCATGTGTATAAGCCGAGTGTATGCTGCCATGTGTATAAGCCGAGTGTATGCTGCCATGTGTATAAGCCGAGTGTATGCTGCCATGTGTATAAGCCGAGTGTATGCTGCCATGTGTATAAGCCAGTATGCTGCCATGTGCTTCTAAGCCAGTGTATGCTACCATGTGTGTATATAAACCAAAATTGCTTGCTGCCATGTGTATATAAGCCAGTGTATGCTGCCATGTGTATAAGCCGAGTGTATGCTGCCATGTGTATAAGCCGAGTGTATGCTGCCATGTGTATAAGCCGAGTGTATGCTGCCATGTGTATAAGCCGAGTGTATGCTGCCATGTGTATAAGCCGGTATATGTATGTGTAGCCGGTGTATGCTGCCATGTGTATAAGCCAGTGTATGCTGCCATGTGTATAAATAAAGTATGCTATGTGTATAAGCAGAGTGTATGCTGCCATGTGTATAAGCCGAGTGTATGCTGCCATGTGTATAAGCCGAGTGTATGCTGCCATGTGTATAAGCCGAGTGTATGCTGCCATGTGTATAAGCCGAGTGTATGCTGCCATGTGTATAAGCCGAGTGTATGCTGCCATGTGTATAAGCCGAGTGTATGCTGCCATAAATGCTCATTGATTATTGATATATGTTGATGCCGCCTTTCACAGCAGCGGCCATTAATATGTAGATTGATCTCGCTATTATGGGGAGGGGGATGGTGGGGAGGGGGATGGTGGGGAGGGGGATGGTGGGGAGGGATGGTGGGGAGGGGGAAAAGAGGGAGGGGGTGATGGGGTTTGTGGTGTGTTTGGCGGGGGGGGAGGGGGTTGTTTACATACAAGGTAGCCAGTTGGTTCTTTACAATATGACCTGTTTTTAAACCCTTCCTTCTTGTTATTATACCTTAACCACCATTATCACCATTACCACCATCATCACCATCACCATCCATTACCACTATCCATTTGCTTTAATATCTACCACCATTACCACCACTCGTCACTACTACCACCATTATCTACCACCATTACCACCACTCGTCACTATCACCATTATCTACCACCATTCATCACTACCTACCACAATTCACCACTATCACCATCCACTACCAGCGTCACACACACACACACCTGTAATCATATCAGGTTCACAGGTGTTTTTCCCACATATACACCTGTAAACGAGTCCAAATTACATTCACACCTGTGCACCTTTAATTAACGCCATCACACAGGTGTACACTTATCACCCACCCACTCGTGTACACCTGTATATGCGTACACTACTCACAAATTACACATACATACATACATACATAACCCAATGTACCTTAATAGTGGGTTGATGTAATAGGTAGATGGGGGGGGAGGGAGGGAGGTAGATGGGGGAGGAGGGAGTGGAGCCAGGGAGGGAGGGGGTAGATGGGGAGGGAGGGAGTAGATGGGGGAGGGAGGGGTAGATGGGGAGGAGGGTAGAGTGGGGGAGGGAGGGGTAGATGGAGGGAGGGGGTGGAGGGGAGGGAGGGTAGATGGAGGGAGGGGGGACAGGTGAAGGACACAATAGGGGTCAATGGCATGGGTCAGTGTGTACAGGTGTGATCAATAACACCTGTACAGTTATGATGTATTTGAAGGGAATTAATTATAGGTGGAATTAATGAATTATAGGTATTATTATGTATTGGAATTATAGTAGTGGTGGTTATAATGATTTAATTAATAGTAATGATATAGTAAAAGTATTAATGACTTGATAATAATGATGATAATGATAACAACAACGAACTTGGTATAATAATAATAATGACTCATTCATATGCATAAATTAACGATATTCATAGATTAATAATAAATGCATAAATAAACGAGATATTAAGTGATAAACACGTGAATAAATGAGAGAGAGAGAGGGAGAGAGAGAGAGAGAGAGAGAGGGAGAGAGAGAGAGGGAGAGAGAGAAACACTAACAATAATATGGCGGCATAATTTATATCATGTTAATATCGTCAGCGGCGGCATGGGAGTTTTATATCGTACTGGTGTCACCGTCAACCTTTTTCATGACTGCAAATATCCAGCATTAAATATATTGACGCGTGTATGATACAGCGGTAATTGAACGATGGGCAAACTAGCTATTTTAATTATTTTAAAAAATATCAATGAATCCTGCAAAGCGGCCGGTCATTACCTGGTGGAATGGACGCTGCTCCCCCTCCCCCTCCCCCTCCCCCTCCCCCTCTTCCCCTCCGCCATGGGTAGAAGAGGGGTGCCAATGGGTTTATTTCCTCTAATTAAAATAATGTCAATGTTTTAAAAGCCCCCGTTATGTTGTAAATAATGCCTTTTTAAGCATCACTCGAGCGTTGTGTATGTATGTGTGTGTCGAAATTAAAAATGTAATGATTTTTTAATTCTCTCTGGTCACTATACATACGTGATGGAAATATGGTTTGTTGACATTGTGATAACTTAACATTTTAAATAGGCGACATTGGACTATTTTCATTACGATAATTACTCAACTATAATACTACAATGAGTACAATGACTACCCACACAACAAAAATCCGAGTACGATAATTTAACCCTTAATTATGATAGATTAACCATTTAAGTATGATAACTTTTCTTATGTACGATAACTTCTTACCTCGAGTACGATAAAGATTCATTTAATATAATAATAACATGAGTACGATAACGACTCAGTACAATGATGGCTGTTGGGGTGTGGCTGTCGGTGGTGGCTGTCGGTGGTGGCGTGACAGACCTTCATCAACACCTTTAGACTAACACCACAACAATATAAAGAGGAATCATTATGGCGCGCACACACACACAACCCCGATATAACAACGAGGTGATATATCTAGGTCACATTACAGTTTATATACAATTCCTCTACAAAAACTAATTTTTTTAATAATTAATATTTTCTACGTAATAATTAAATTAACAAGTCAGTCAGCCAGTGAGTAATAATTTTAATAACCTTTTTAAAAATAACATTATGAATAGCTAATAAAAACTCACTCTTGTTTTTATAATGTTTATGATTTTAATAGGTTTAAGTATAAAGTTTTATATGGTTTAAGGGTTTATATTAATTGGTTTATGATATATTTAAATAATAAGTTTTAATTGTTTGTTTGTTTCCTTACAGACGGAGATCGCCAAGAGGCTAAACGCGATACTAGCACAGATTATGCCCTTCTTATCCCAAGAGGTGAGTGTCTGGTGTTTTGGGCAGTGTCATGGGGTAGTGTCACGTGTCATGAGGTAGTGTCATGGGTGTAGTGTCACGTGTCATGAGGTAGTGTCATGGGGTAGTGTCACGTGTCATGAGGTAGTGTCATGGGTGTGGTCATAGGGCAGTGTTATAGTATCGTGTCATGGGGGTGTAGTGTCGAGGTAGTGTCATGGGTGTAGTGTCAGGGCAGGTCATGTGTCATAGGAGTAGTGTTATGTGTCATGGGTAGTGTTATGTGTCATGGGGTAGTGTCGTGTTATGGAGATATGTGTCATGGGATAGTGTCAGTTATGGTAGTGTCGTGGATAGTGTCTGTTGGGTAGTTGTCGTGGGTAGTGCCGTGTTATGGGGTAGTGTCAGTAGTAGTGTCAGGTGTCATGGGTAGTGTCATGTGTCATGGGAGTAGTGTTATGTGTCATGGGGTAGTGTCACGTGTCGTGGCAGTGTCACGTGTCATGGGGTAGTGTCACGTGTCATGGGATAGTGTCATGGGGGTAGTGTCACGTGTTATGGGATAGTGTCACGTATCATGGGATAGTGTCACGTGTCATGGGATAGTGTCACATGTCATGGGGTAGTGTCACGTGTCATGGCATAGTGTCACGTTATGGGGATAGTGTCACGTCATGGGATAGTGTCACGTGTCATGGGATAGTGTCACGTGTCGGGGATAGTGTCACGTCATGGGATAGTGTCACGTGTCATGGGGTAGTGTCACGTGTTATGGGTTGTCATGTGTCATATTTTTCACTTGTGTTGTGTCATATGGTGTCATGTGTAGTTGATCGTGTTATGTCATTAACCTCAATCATCAATAAGGTCACCAATTAACGGGGTCAATGTCACTTGTCAGGTTAGGTTAGGTCACGTCAACAATTAGGTCAGGTATTGTTAAGCTCACCAGGTCAAATAATCAGGTCACCAGGTCATCAATCAGGTCACCAGGTCAATAATCAGCTCACCAGGTCATTATTGGGGTCAGTGGGCCTTGTTATCGTGTGTGTGTGTGTGTGAAGACTCTTGTGTGTGTATGTGAGTGTGTACGGCTGCTGCCTGTGTACGTGTTCGTGAACGTGTTGGTAATAGGAGACTGTGTGTGTGTGTGTGTGTGTGTGTGTGTGTGTGTGTGTGTGTGTGTGTGTGTGTGTGTGTGTGTGTGTGATATGATAAAAATTAATATTAAAATTTATATTAATGTTGTCTATGTATTTTTATATATACACACACACACACACACACATGAACAGTATATCAAGATGTGTGTGTATACCTGAGATCTAGTCTCTCTCTCTCTCTCTCTCTCTCTCCCAAGCTGTTAATTATGACAGAGTGGCGGTAGGTGTGCGAGGGGTCATTAGAGACAGTAATTATACCTGGCCGGAGTTAATGATGTGCCGTACCAGGTGTGAAGAACCGCAGGTGAGAGGAGATGTAGCCACCTGCCTCACCTGACTGGGTTTTATAGGGTGTGTTGGAGTGTGTTGTGGTTTCTAAAGGGTATTGGTGAAGTGTGTTGGGGGTTTTGAGAGTGTGTTGGAGTGTGAGATGGTTTCGAAAGGGTGTGTTGTGGTTTCTGTAGGGTGTGTTGGAGTGTGTTGTGGTTTTTATAGGGTGTGTTGTGGTTTCTGTAGGGTGTGTTGGAGTGTGTTGTGGTTTTTATAGGGTGTGTTGGAGTGTGTTGTGGTTTTTATAGGGTGTGTTGTGGTTTTTGTAGGTGTGTTGGAGGTGTTGTGGTTTCTGTAGGTGTGTTGGAGTGTGTGTTGTGGTTTCATAGGGTGTGTTGAAGTGTGTTGGGTTTATGGGTGTGTTGTTTCTAAAGATGTGGTAGAGTGTGTTGGTTCTGTAGGGTGTATTGGAGTGTTGGGTTTCAGGATGTGGTAGAGTGTGTTGTGGTTTCTATAGGTGTGTTGGAGTGTGTTGGTTAGGGTGTGTTGGGTTTCTAAAGGATGTGGTAGAGTGTGTTGCGGTTTCTATAGTGTATTGGAGTGTGTTGGGTTTCTAAAGGATGTGGTGGTAGGTGCGGTTTCTATAGGGTGTATTGGAGTGTGTTGAAGTGTGTGTTGGGTTTCTAAAGAATATACCATTATATTTTCTTCATTATTTTTCCACCCATGAGTATACTTAAGTCAGATATACCACCCTATCTTAATATACTAATACCGGGTATATCGTTTTATTCAGGCTATACCACTATTTCAAGTATATTATATTATCATACCTTCTCCCAGAATATACTAGTTTTAATATATCATCATATTTCGCCCCCAAAATATACCATTATACTCCCGTTATACTCCCCATTATACTTCCTGTTATACTTCCCGTTATACTCCCGTTATACTCCCCGTTTACTCCCCGTTATACTCCCATTATACTTCCCGTTATACTCCCTGTTATACTCTCCCGTTATACTCCCCATTATACTCCCCATTTACTTCCGTTATATTCCGTTTGTTATAATTATATCTATACTTCCGTATATCCGTTATATTCCCTGTTATACTCCATTCCCCACCTACTAGTTATCGTGACCAGTGACTATAAGAGGAGTATAATTTAGTCGTATAATCATTAAGTATAATATGAATATCATTCCTACGTTAACAGACAGACTGATATGGAAGGTTGATTGATATATACCGTCTTGTCACCTGGGGAGGGAGGGGGGAGGGGGGTTAAATAATTATTGTCTGACTATTGCAACATAACACACCAATAACACCAAACACAACCCACACCTCCCCACACCCCACACCTCACAACCCCACCCCACAACCCCACCCACACCCACCCCCACAACCACACCCCACCCCACAACCACACCACACCCCACCCCCACCCCCACCCCACAACCCCACCCCACCCCCACCCCACCCACACACACACCCCACAACCCACAACACACCCCAAACCCACACCCCACCCCACAACCAACCCACCCCACACCCACCCACCCCACCCCCACACCCCACCCACACACCCCTCCAACCCCACCCACCCCCACAACCCCATCAATATAACCTTAAACAGTACTTATATAAAGGTCAACATAATCTCTCACCCTGTACATTTTATCATGGTAATAACTTTTTATTATATACAAGGGTCATAATATGTCCTCTAATATATCCAATAAGTCAGCCAGTTTGGGAGGGGTGGGGGGGGTGGGTTATATTGGTTATACTGGGTATATTAGGTATATTTTATGAGACTTGTATAGTATGTGTGTGTGTGTGTGTGTGTGTGTGTGTGTGTGTGTGTGGTGTGTGTGTGTGTGTTGTCAGCGATATATTCCGTCTGCGTTTCTGTACTTTCTCCTCCTCCTTCCTTCCTTTCCCTTCCTCCTTCCTTCCCCTCCCCTTTCTTCCTTCTTATTCTCCTTTCCTACTCCCTTTTCTCCTCCTCCTTCCCCTTTCTCCCTTCTTCCTCTTCTCCCTCCTTCCTTCTTCCCTCCTTCCTTCTTCCTCCCCACCGATAGCCCCTAACACGACGTTCATACTGCTCATGTCGCAGCTAAGCCAACAACGTCAGCTTTTTTTTTTGCTGATCCTGTCCACGTCAGCTGCCGCCTACGTCAGCGTTACCCACGTCAGCTGTCAGTCACCCACGTCAGCTGTTCCTTGCTCTCTCACCCCCTGTCAGCTCTCATCGTCGCCGTCAGCACTTTATCTCTCACGTCAGCTATCCCTCTATCAACGTCAGCTCTCACCACCCACGTCAGCCCATTATAGTGGTGTGTGGGCGGTGGTGGGCGTGTAATTGATCTCTCCCGTTGTTATAGCACATAGACCTATAATTTCTCCCCTCCCATTGGCAGATGATAGTAGTGGCGTATAATTCCTCTTTGGTAGATATTAATTGCGTATAATAATCTTCCACAGGTAGATTATAAAGCGTATAATTTGTGATGATGTTTTTCTTATCATATTATAGGTGTATAAAATACTTTAGTGGGTAACCAAGGCAATTGTGTGTGTGTGTGTGTGTAAGATATTTATTGGGGTATGTATGGTAATAAAAACGCACACAGAATGAGGGAGAGAGAGAGAGAGTTATACAATTAATTTTTCATTTTGTCTTATTAATTTTTAAAACAAAAAAAAAAATCTCAGAAAATTAAATAAAAACATTTTTTTTTACATATTAAACTAAAAGAATAAATCTAAATGGGGTAATTAGCGCCCAATTTACCTATTACTAATAACATAAATATAACAACACAATTACGGGCAATTTATCCAGTCAATTTTATTATAATGAGGTAATAATTGTGTGAAATTGGAGATAAATCTATTTCCCAATTTCATAGTGGATGTGGACCCTATTATTGGTAGATTATGTACTATTTCGTATTATTGTGAAGGAGAATAGACACTGTAATTGGTAGGGTGGATTTTTTCCCTATTTTAACGGGGCTGAAGTACTGTAATTGGCAAGGGCTTATATTTTTTTTTTACCTATTTTGACGTTGATAATTGAAGTCTCATTTATAGGGTGAATTTAATCCCCCAATTTTGACAATATAAGTAAATCTGTAGTAATAGGTGAAATTTTTTACACCAAACCTATTTCAAACGTGGGTATAAAATAGGTAAATACACTATTAGCTTATAATTACCACTCCACGTCATTCAATCATTACCTAATCACCATATAATCATAACACAGGTAATTGGGTAAAGTTAATAGAGCGCCAATTTATCTTTTAATAGCAGGTGTGACAGGTGTAATTAACTATTAAAATATGACAGGTTATAACAGGTGACTAATTGCTCATAATTGAGTGTAACAGATTTGTAATTCGTGGGTTAATGTGGAAGCCAATTTTTTTTAATAGTGGATGCAGGTTAATTGGGGTTTTAATTGGAATATATGATATGTATGTGAAAGTACACTAGTGTTTTATATATAGACACACACACAACACACACACACACACACACACACACACACACACACACACACACACACACACACACACACAAGCTCTTAACTAACCAGAACCCATCCCACATACAAATATCACCCTTACCCACACACGAATACCTGTAGCACACGTGTCAATCCACCCCCCACCTCTGGTCACCATGGGTCATCAGCACCAACAACAGGTGGCGGCGGCGATAGAACGGGCTAAGCAGGTCACCATGACTGAACTCAACTCAATTATTGGGGTAAGTTTACAGGTGTGTGTGACCAGGTGTTCTATGTATACCTGTTGATATCACCATTATTCTCGTTAAGGTGGGTGGGTTAGGAAGGTGGTGGGTGGGTAGGTGGGTGGGGGGGTAAGTTAGTAGGTGGGTGGTGGAAGTAGTTGTTTGCTGTATTGCTTAAAGGTTTTAGGAGGACAATTCAAATATATTTGGATCTTAGAAGGGGAGGAAGGAAGGAAGGGAAGGAAGGAAGAAGTTTCAGTGAAGGAGAGGAAGAGAGAGTTTCAATGTCTTAGGAAGGAGAAGAGGGAGGTTCTCATGTCTTAAAAGTAAGGAAGGAAGGAAGGAAGGATATCACTGCAGGTAGTGAAGGAGGTATATCATTGCAGGTAAGGAGGGAAGAAAAGGAGGGTAGGAGGTGGGAAGGAAGGAAGGAAGGGTAGGTAGGAGGAGGAGGGAGGAAGGAGGGTAGTGTAGGAAGGAAGGAGGGAGGTTAGATTAGATTAGGGTCAAGTTAAATCAGGTTAGGATTGATCAAGTTAGGTCAGGTCAACTTAGGTTAGGTTAGGTCAGGTCAGGTCAACTTAGGTTAGGTTAAGAGTCTCTGATATTATATATAAAGGTAAGAGATTGAAAGACATCAGGTAAACACAGGTAGATATCATTATATACATGTCAATCCAGTATACATATATATATATATATGTGTGTGTTTTTATATTCCTATATGAAAGTTAAGTATAATTTATATATATAATTTTTTGGTATTTTCTTAATATTAGTTATAATTCAGAAGAATGATATATATAGTTATAGATATAATTTATATATAATCATTATTTATTATAGGAAATTATATTCAAGTTATGAGAATTTATATTTTTTATTTTTTTTAAGTAAATGAGTAAAGGTGTTGCTATATTTTATGTGTTATAGAAAGTCACATTATTAAATTATATGAAGAGCATAAGAATATATTACACCAAACTTCATGAAACGCAGAATAATATAGTTAAGTAGATAATAATTATACTAGCTCCTATTAATCGGGGTAATAGTGTATATAAATTGCTATAAACCCACATATATTAGCTATTAAAGACACAAATCAATATACTAGTAAAAAAAAAACAATATATTTCTTGAATAGTGAAGTTCTGGGCTATATTCTAAGAGGGTTTAAAAAGGTTATATCACAGAATACCTCGTTTTAACCACCTCTTCTGCTTAATATATATGTACTGTATATAAAATTTTTTTTGGTCAATTTAACCTCAAAATAAAAATTCAAAAATACCAAAAAAAAAAAAATACAAAATAAAGTTGGAGTGACAATGGAAGGGTTACAGATGTTATTCTATTGTCTTGCAGCACCAGAGAAACGAGTTACCACGAATTTTGGTTAGTATTACATCTTCATTAGTTGGTGTAAGTCCCAAGGAGAGAAAGTAGAACCAGCCAATAGTGTATTAGAGAGAAAACGAGAGAGAGAAAAGAGGGTGGGTATGAGGGTTAAAGAGAGAAAAGAGAGAAGAGAGAGAAGAGGAAAATATTCAAGAACAAGTAGAAATATATTTTTTTTGGGTGGGGGTTAATTTAGGAATGGGTTTTTAAAAGGATTTATTTTTTTATGAGGAAGGAGATTATAAGGATTTATTCAGATATTCGATAGGATTTTTTTTTAGAACAGTAAATTTTGTGTAATCTTAAAGAGGGATTACTTTGGATAGGTTGGATGGATTGATGGATTACAGTATCATAGGAAAAGGATTTATGGTAAGGATTATTACCAGTTTAATAAATCTTTAAATCCTGGAGGATGATGGGTTTAAAGGTGGATTACAATAGGATTAACTAAGAGAAAATTATGAAGAAGACAAAATAGTAATAATTAAAAGATATAAAGAAGAATTTAGTGAAAAAAAATACTTTGTAATGTATAGTTAATCGATAAACAATAAATAATAAAATAAATTAAGTATAAAAAAGAAGATTCAAAAACACGATAATTAAGAAATATTGATAAAAAAGGGGGGAATTAATCTTAACTCGTAGTAAAGCAGAGGAGTAATGAAGAAGGAAGATAATTAAGGGAAAATGAATAATTAGGGATTAATGAAGAGGAATAATAATAAAAAAAAATGATAATTAAAGAAAATAGATAAATATGAACCTTTAAGAAATAATAAATAGATGACTAATGAAAATAATGAAGAGGTAAACATAGCCTTCTTCCCCAGATAGTAATTTACCTATTTTTTTTATTCACTTCCCCAGTTATTCATTTTATTTATTCCTTATTTATTCTTTTTGTAATTTATTCTATTTTCGTCGAATTTACGTAGAGTTTTAGAACAAATTCGTCAGTTTTATTTTACTCTTTTCTGTGCTGTTTAATTCTGGTCTTATTCGGTCTTATTCTTTATTCATTTTCTGCCTATTTCCCATTTTCTTTACATCCTTAGACCCTTTAGTTATAATAGGCACCAATTTTAATAGTCCCCAGTGCAAATTGGCTCACGTAACCAGGTATAAAGCCTCCCCTCTCCTGTAGACACGATAAAGAAATAAAATAAATATAATAATAAATAATAATAACAATAAAAGTCTCTTCCTTATCATTTAAAAAAAAAATATTCTGAAAAAATTATTATTCACTGCATCTCCAATTTCTTCACTACGAGATTATTCATTTAGTTTATTGACGGAATTAATAAATATTTAACTTGGCTTGGTTGACTCCCTATACTCCTTGCTTTTAAAGTCTTCATAATTCCGGTTGTTTTTGTAGTTATTGAGGCAACCAAAAAAAAAAAAATAATAATTATTAAACCCAAATCATTTTATAAAAAAAAAATTCCACCTAAATTTTTGGTATTATATTTCAATCACGGGGACAAGTTTGTATAGTTATTGGTAGTTTATATAATTACATTTTTATTGTTTAGATTTGAATGTATATATAGATATGTGTATGAATATTATCAAATAGAGTGTTGTTGTTAATAGATAAAGAAATATATTGTTAGTGTGTGTTATGATTTGAAGTATATTGAGTTACATGACTTTATTGTTACACTCCACCACTCTGGTCACTCACTATTTTGCTTCCTTTTTATTTTACTGTATTAGGTCACCTATTTTGTTATTCACTACTCTGTTTTTTTGGGTAATGTTTCTTACTTATGCTACAGTGTGTCACTCACTGTCACTCACCCTTCACCCACTGTAATTAGCTTTCAATTGTTACTCATCATTACCCTTTGCTTAGTGTAACTATTTTATCACGCAGCATCACCTTTAACTCACCCGTCACTCACCACTTCCAACCGTTACTCATCATCAACCGTTACTCACCTTCAACTGCCACTCATCATCAAACCGTCACTCACCAACCGTCAATCATCACCAAGTCACTCACATATATCACACATGTCACTGATATTTGTCTTGTGAGTTCCCGAAGGTAAACTGGATGTTGAGTTCCTGAGTTTGTAACACACACACACACACACACACACCTCGGTCGTGTATAAACTCCATAACTCTGAGAGACAGACGACAGGCGTTGTAATTTGCTGTGATAAATAATATTTTTTGGTACATATAACTTAATAGCGTACACGAGGAATATAGTATGAGGTTAATAGTGTATATAACGTTAATATTTGCTGTAATGATAGTAAATAGATGGCGTAAAATGATGTATAGACGATATAATATGCTTAAGTAAATAAACAATTCGTGTATAGACGATGTAAATGCATAAAATATGTTTTGTATAGATAATATAATGTGAAAATTAATTGAATCTTGAGACTTTGTGTAAACGAAATAACTCAAGAGGAAAAACAACAGAGAGTCTACCTATAAACATTACGAGTCTCCGTGCTAGAATTATAAACGATATGATTCACAGAAAACAAAAGACCGTCTGCTAAAAATATAAACGACATGACTCTAAAACAAAACACAAACAAAAAAAGTCAGACTCGCCGAGCCAAAAGTATAAACGATGTGACTCGGGTGAAAAACAAATGGTTCGCATATAATTGGTCTGTTTGTGTGTGTGTGTGTGTGTGTGTTAGCGGGAGGATGAGAGGAGGAGGGGGGAGAGAGTGGGGGGAAGGAAGGAGGTACTAAATGTATAAACGATATAATCCCCGTTCAACTCGCCTGAATAAATTGCCCCGACTGTGAATAAAAACGATGTGACGCCGAAACTAATGACTTGTGCATAAATGATAGGAGGTGATGGAGGGGCCACCGCTTTGTTAAATAATATAAAGTGATGTCACCCTGCCAGTATAAGTTTGACTTAAAACAAACGCAGCAGCCGCCAAAAGACCCTCAAAAGATGGCCTCAAAACAAATGCTAGGGATATAAATAATAGGATGAGAGTATAAATGACGTGACCCAAATATAAAAGTATAGATGACGTGACCCAAACATAAAAGTATAGATGACGTGACCCAAACATAAAAGTATAGATGACGTGACCCAACACTATAAAACAAAGTTAAACCCTTGAGTACGGTGGTTTAACCCTTTTGAGTACGATGGTTAAGTCATCATACTCCAGGTGATAAGTCATCATACTTAAGGGGTTAATGCATCGTACTCTCAGGCCAAATACATTGTACTCAGAGACTGGCATCGTACTCAGGGGAATGACATCGTACTCAAGGGACTAGCATCGTACTCAGGAGCTCTGGCATCGTACTCAGGGGAATGACATCGTACTCAAGGGACTAGCATCGTACTCAAGGGCTCTGGCATCGTACCCAGGGAATGACATCGTACTCAGGGGCTCTGGCATCGTACTCAGGGGACTGGTATCGTACTCAACGCTGCCAGTACCACAAGTTGGCCCTACATCACCACAAGTAACCTTACACCACTACCTTTCACCTCACACGGGTCTCGGTAACAGGACCCAGGACCCATCCTGCTGCCGCCCACCACCTTCCCACACCAGAGACCCCACATGCCACCCTGCCACCCACCACCTCCCCACCAGACCCCACATGCCACTGCTGCCCACCACCTCCCACACCAGAGACCCCACATGCCACCCTGCCACCCACCACCTCCCCACACCAGAGACCCCACATGCCACCCTGCCACCCACAGAAGGGCTCCCCACACACCACTCTGCCACCCATCTACGATTTAATGGTGGAGTTTGTGTTGGAGGAAGAAGGAGTACAGTGCTTGTTGGAGGTGTTAATACAGTTTGTGGTGGAGAATAAACTGGTGTTGGCGAATAAACTAGTTAAATGGCGAATAAACGGTACCGGTTGCGAACAAACTAGTGTTAAAACATTCTGTGGTGGCGAATAAACTAGTGTTATTCTGCGAATAAACTAGTGTTAAAACATTCTGGGTGGCGAATATTTAGTAAAACATTCTGTGGTGCGAATAAACTAGTGTTAAAACATTCTGAGAATAAACCTAGGTTGCTAGAGCCTTGCTCGAGAGAAAAACTCCCGCCACCGCCCACAAGAAGTGCAATACAAACCGTCACGTCACTATGAAGAAGCTGGGAGGGGTCTTGGGAGCAGGAGGGTCTTGGAGTGGAGGGTCTTGGAGTAGAGGGTCTTGGAGTAGGAGTCTTGGAGAAGACTTGAACAGTTTTGGAGGAAATGTTGAGTAGGAAGGCCTTAGAATAATTGGGCTTGGAGTTAAGGATTTTGGAGTGAGTCCTTGGAGCAATACAGAGGAACGCGTGATAAATTAGGAGGAGGAGGAGGAGGGACAGGGTCAGAAGAGGGGAAGGTGGAGGGGAGATGGAAGGGTGTAGCCGCAGCGTGGATAATTATTGTAAATTACAAGTGTGTGTGTGTGTGTGTGTGTGTGTGTGTATAGACGCTGTGTACGGCTATTTCAAAACACAGCGGGTAAAAGGTGAGGAACTGCGGTGTCAGGCTTCTGTCTTGTGACCAACTGGAAACTTGTTGCCATCACCAGTCGACTAACTTCCCAGAAACACTGGAGGGGGGAGGGGGGCTGTTTTGTGGGCTTGAGGGGTCTTTTCGGGGCTATTTTGGGACCTGTTTTAGGGGGACTGTTTGAGGCTGTTTGTGTAAATACACAAACAATTATTTCGGATGGTCGCAAACCCCCTCCCCCTGGACTACGTGACTTTGTTAAGGAAATGTCGCAAAACCAAGGAGGTGGATACTGTTGTGCTATTTGTATTCTGAGGGCAGTATAAGAGTGGCTGGCCAATCTTTACTGCCCCTCCCCTGCTCCCTCCCCACCTGCGCCCCACGCCCCTCGCCCACTTGAACAGTGCACCAGTCTGATAATAACTGATGAAGAGGCCAGCAGATGTGAGCCTAAAATGTGTGTGTGTGTGTGTGTGTGTGTGTGTGTGTGTGTGTGTGTGTGTGTGTGGTGTGTGTGTGTGTGTGGTGTGTGTGTGTGTGTAGGTGTGGTGTGGTGTGTAGGTGTGTGTGGTGTGGGTAGTGTGTGTGGTGTGGTGTGTGTGTGTGTGTGGTGTGGTGTGGTGTAGTGTGTGCGTGTGTGGTGTAGTGAAGTATGTATTACTGGCGGCGGCGGCTTGAACACCATTATAACACGAGGCTCACCACCACTATGAATACATTTCTCTCCTCATGTGAAGTGTGAGGCGACAGAGGTGTTAGGGGGAGGAGGGCCTTCGCAACTTCATGGACTCTCGCTGTTGTATCTTGTCAAGGGAGTTTCTAGTTACATAATTACTTGTTTCTGGCAACTTGTGGGCAGATTGCGACGCTTCCCCCTTCCCTCCACCCCTTCCCTCCACCTGCCGCTCCCCTTCCCTGGCCGCCCACCCCCCACCTCTTCCCCCTCCCTACTTAAAATTCAGCCGACGACATTGGCTTGTGGAGGGTTGCGTGCGGCCGACTTGGGAGGTAGTAATGGAGGTCGGAATAATACATGAGAGGTCCGTAGTCCTTTACTAGTGGGAGGGCGGCCTCTCACGCACTCCCTCTCTCCCTCCCTCCCTCTCTCCCTCTCCCTCTCCCTCTATGTTATCGCGTGTTCCTCCGTCCCTATTAAGGTAACAATGAAAGCCTATCAAATGTTATAAGTGGAAGTCCAATTTACACACTGGATTTGGTGGTTGGTGTTGGGTAGTGACACTGTTATTATGTGTAAAGTATGGGTGGGGGGGAGTGGGGGAGGGTGAGGGTGACGAAAGATGAGGGGGTCGTCCTTTCCCCCCTCACCCTCACCCCCACCCCCACCCATGGCTTTGGTTGATGTTCATGGCTGTTTACATGATAATTCTACACGGTCACACGCCCACGTACACACACACCCGCCCACGTACACACACACCCGCCCACGTACACACACACACGTACAGACAAGGATTAAGATAAGAAACAGACACACAGATACACGTACATATCATGTTAAGTTTCACCTCATCAAAATTAATTCAAAGAAATATGTCAAAATTTAAAGGTGTGTGTGTGTGTGTGTGTGTGTGTGTGTGTGTGTGTGTGTGTGTGTGTGTGTGTGTGTGTGTGTGTTTCGTAGTTAATGTAGTGTTGCTGTAGCTATCGTTCACGTCCTTAATTTAAGAGAACTATACATTATTGGACGAAACTTTATGAATCTGGTCACTGGAATTCAATTTTTTTTTTCCCTTCACCAGCCTGTATCGTCTCTTCTCGATATCGCCAAGGTCTAGCCATAATCGAGTTTTATAGCCGAAAAATACGCCCAAGCTCAGGCCAAATTGGTGGGAAATAGCCCGAAACAATATAGCCCGTAACCCGACCACACCGTGAAGTTTGGCCTCTTTTAACGCTTCTGTAATTTAGATTATTGATTTAAGAGGAGAGCAGCGGGTCGTAAATAATAGTTTCAGCCCATATACAGGTTTAATAAGTTGTCTGGGGGTAACAAGGTGTGTGGGCGCGATTTGGCCTTTTTTAAACCTGATTTGGCCTTTTTTAAACCTGATTTGGCCTTTTTTCCCCTGTTTACCGCCGGCACTTACTAGCCAAGATGACGCGGTTTATACACCAATTCATCGCCTGGGATTATAACCTCAGAGATTGGTTTAAGTTTTAGGTTCGCCTGAGCTGATCTGACGTGATGGGTCTTGGGTGATGAAGAGCGATTAATAGTGACGGTGTGTGGTGGTGTATACGAGGTAGTATAGTGTGGAGGTAAGTCACCATACACACACACACACACCCACACGCATACACCACACATTCATTCATTCACGTACACGCAAACACATCATTACCTGTGTGTGTATGTATGTATGTATGTATGTATGTATGTATGTATCTATCAATTCTCCAGCCAAAACAGTTCCCACTAAGACAGACAGACAGACAGACAGACAGACAGATAGACAGACAGACAGACAGACAGACAGACAGACAGACAGACAGACAGACAGACAGACAGACAGACAGATAGACAGACAGACAGACAGACAGACAGACAGACAGAACCAAACACCCGAAACAAGTCTTAGTTCATTTCTGACGCCATCTTGTTCACCTGACTCACATAACATCACTAATTAAAAAAAGATAAAAATGAACCTACAAAATCTTTTTAACATTACGATAATTTTTAACTAAGATAAAATGTTAACTCTTATGAATGTCTAATAATTTAACATTTTACACAAACTTTATTACCGATAGAAAATTTTAACCCAATGTCTTCAAGAATTTAGAGTTACGATAATTAACAGGTGATTAAATTGGCTCCTGGTAATTAAGTTCTCGCACCTGGTTTACCTGTACAGCCAACCAGGTGATCATGGTGTAGTGGAGAAGATAGTGAACGAGATAGTGAATGTTATAGTGAATTGTTACCTGTAAATGGAAAGCCACAAGTCACCATCTTGTTGCCCTCCCTTCACTATATTAATCACAATCCTATGGACTTTTAATTCACTATCACCACCATTCTCACCATCATTACCTCAATTACCATCACCACAAGTCACCATCACCATCATCATCACTATAATCGTGCTGGCTTTATTGTGTCTTAAGCTCACAACACCATAGTTATTCTAATGGTGTAATAATGACACCATTTATCACCATAATTGGCTTCCTATCACCTTTCACCATTTTCATGACTCCCATATATTCAAGCTTATGGTAGCTGTCTTGTTGGTTGTATCACTGTCACTACCATTCCTACCTGGCTACCACTCACGGTGTTTCTACCATTATCATCTACCAGTCTCACTATGGTTAGCTAACTACCATTATCATCTACCAGTCTCACTATGGTTAGCTAACTACCATTATCAGCTACCAGTCTCACTATGGTTAGCTAACTACCATTATCAGCTACCAGTCTCACTATGGTTAGCTAACTACCATTATCAGCTACCAGTCTCACTATGGTTAGCTAACTACCATTATCAGCTACCAGTCTCACTATGGTTAGCTAACTACCATTATCATCTACCAGTCTCACTATGGTTAGCTAACTACCATTATCAGCTACCAGTCTCACTATGGTTAGCTAACTACCATTATCAGCTACCAGTCTCACTATGGTTAGCTAACTACCATTATCAGCTACCAGTCTCACTATGGTTAGCTAACTACCATTATCTCTCTCCTACCATTCACATGACCCGTTTCTCTTACTACCACTACTACTAATGGCAGTCTCCCTACCAGAGTTACCACTAGCTGGGGTACTACCGTTGTCCTGGTACTACCACAGTCACCTCAACACATACCACCACAACCACCACCACAACCACCACTATTCTCACGAACTACCACCACCATTGTTAAAACTACCATTATCACCATTACCATCATCACCATTAAATCACCACCATAATAACACCATTGCCTCATCACCACTACCATCACACCACCATCCACCACATCACTATAATACACCACACTACCACCATACCATACACGCACACGCACACACGCACACACTCACACGCACGCACTCACGCATAAAGGATCACTGACTGAGGCTGGGCGGGTCGTGTATATTGCAGCAGCAGATGCAGGCCCAGCAGGCTGCCTTGCCGCATGCGGGACACGCCCCTCCCATCCCTCTAGGGCCGCATCCGGCACTGCCCGGCCTCCCGTCCCTCCCGCCATCCTCCGCCGCAAGTAAGTATTACAATTGGCCGCAAATAAGTTCTTAGATATAACCGCATGCGTCCTTATCCTTAAACAAGTGCCGCAGGTGTTACTCTCCATAATCGTCCTCCACCGCGGGTAAGTCCTGGTACTGTCCACAAGTAAGTCCCGGTACTGTCTACAAGTCCTCGTATTGTCCACAAGTAAGTCCCGGTACTGTCTACAAGTCCTCGTATTGTCCACAATTAAGTCCCGGTACTGTCTACAAGTCCCGGTACTGTCCATAAGTAAGTCCAGGTACTGTCTACAAAAAAATCCCGGTACTGTCCACAAGTAAGTCCCGGTACTGTCTACAAGTAAGTCCCAGTGCATCTCTGAAGTCCTCATCTGTCACAAGTAAGTCCCGGTACTGTCCTGAGTCCTGGATACTGTCCATAAGTAAGTCCAGGTACTGTCTACAAAAAAATCCCGGTACTGTCCACAAGTAAGTCCTGGTACTGTCTACAAGTCCTGATACTGTCCACAAGAAAGTTCCGGTACTGTCTACAAGTCCTGGTACTGTTCTAAGTCCGTACTGTCTAAGTCCTGATACTGTCCACAAGAAAGTTCATACTGTCTACAAGTCTGGTACTGTCCACAAGTAAGTCCTGGTACTGTCTACAAGTCCTGATACTGTCACAAGAAGTTCAGTACTGTCTACAAGTCCTGGTACTGTCCACAAGTAAGTCCCGGTACTGTCTACAAGTCCTGATACTGTCCACAAGAAAGTTCCGGTACTGTCTACAACTCAGTACTGTCCACAAGTAAGTCCTGGTACTGTCTACAAGTCCATACTCACAAGAAAGTTCCGGTACTGTCACAGCGTACTGTCCACAGTACTGTCTACAAGTCCTGATACTGTCCACAAGAGTCCGGACTGTCTCAAGTCCGTACTGTCCACAAGTAAGAAGTCCTGTACTGTCTACAAGTCCTGATACTGTCCACAAGAAAGTTCCGTACTGTCTACAACTCCTGGTACTGTCCACAAGTAAGTCCCGGTACTGTCTACAAGTCCTGATACTGTCCACAAGAAAGTTCCGGTACTGTCCACAAGAAAGTTCCGGTACTGTCTACAAGTCTATTGTCACAAGTAAGTCCTGGTACTGTCTACGTCCACATTCTAGAAAGTTCCGGTACTGTCCACAAGAAAGTTCCGTACTGTCTACAAGTCCTCGTAATGTCCACAAGTAGTCCTGGTACTGTCTACAAGTCCTGATACTGTCCACAAGAAAGTTCCGGTACTGTCCACAAGTCCAGTGCTGTCCACAAGTAAGTCCCGGTACTGTCCATAACAAGTCCTGGACTGTCCACAAGTAAGTCCTGGTACTGTCTACAAGTTCCATACTGTCCACAAAGTTCCGGTACTGTCTACAACTCCTGGTACTGTCCACAAGTAAGTCCCGGTACTTGTCTACAAGTCCTGATAATGTCCAGAAAGTTCTGTACTGTCCATAAGTCCTGCCGTCCACAGAAAGTCCTGTACTCTCTACAAAGTCCTTGTCCTAATAAGTCCCGGTACTGTCTACAAGTAAGTCCCAGTACTGTCTAAGAAGTCCCGGTACTGTCCACAAGTAAGTCCTGTACTGTTCCCTGTATAATCTCCCTTGATGTATAATTAAACTAAGAAAAGTGAATATATTTATACATTATATTGTTTAAATGTTATTTAGACTCTCTCTCTCTCTCCTACGTCCCAATCTCCCTTATTTCCTAACCCCTACTCTCCCTTACTCCCTATTCCCTTAATCTCCCTACTTCCCCACCTCCCTTACTCTCCCTATCCCCCTAATCTCCTAATCTCCCTACTTCCCACACTCTCCCTACTCTCCCTTACTCTCCTATTCCCTTAATCTCCTAACCTCCCTACTCTCCCTTACCTCCCTATTTCCCTTAATCTCCCAACCTCCCTACTCTCCTCACTCTCCTATTCCCTTAATCTCCTAACCTCCCTACTCTCCCTTACTCTCCCTATTCCCCAATCTTCTTATCTCCTACTTCCCCACACCTCCCTATTCCCAATTTAACTTCCTAACCTCCCTACTTCCCTATTCCCCAATCTCCTAACCTCCCTACCTCCCTATTCCCTTAATCTCCAATCTCCCATCTTCCCACACTCCTGTCATCATAGGTAGGTGGATAAACACATCACTAACTGCTGTCTCTGTCTGTGTGTCGCTACAGGTTTGCTATCGGGGTTTACCGGATCACTGATGAACCCCAACAGTCACCCGCTCTCTCTTCTCAGTTCTAAACACCTCCTGCACCGCGACGACAACACACGTGAGTACTCTGGCCTCACCTGTCATCCATCCTCACCTTCTGGCCTCACCTGTCATCCATCCTCACTTTCTGGCCTTACGTCATCCATCCTCACCTGTCATCCTCTCACTCACTTGTTAATTCTCACCTCTGGCCTCACCTGTCATCCATCCTCACCCTCTGGCCTCACCTGTCATCCATCCTCACCCTCTGGCCTCACCTGTCATTCATCCTCACCTTCTGGCCTCCACCTGTCATCCATCTCTCACCTTCTGGCCTCACCTGTCATCCATCCTCACCCTCTGGCCTCACCTGTCATTCATCCTCACCTTCTGGCCCACCTGTCATCCTCACCTTCTGGCCTCACCTGTCATCCATCCTCATCCCTCTGGCCTCACCTGTCATCCACCATCCTCACCTCTGGCCTCACCTGTTATCCATCCTCACCTTCTGGCCTCACCTGTCATCCATCCTCACTTCTGCCTTACCTGTCATCCATCCTCACTTTCTGGCCTCACCTGTCATCCATCCTCACCTTCTGGCCTCACCTGTCATCCATCATCGCCATTTGTCTCAGCTGTCATCCATTCTCACCTTCTGGCCTCACCTGTCATCCATCCTCACCTTCTGGCCTCACCTGTCATCCATCCTCACCTTCTGGCCTCACCTGTCATCCATCATCGCCATTTGGTCTCAGCTGTCATCCATCCTCATCCTCTGGCCTCACCTGTCATCCATCCTCACCTTCTGGCCTTCACCTGCCATCCATCCTCACCTTCTGGCCTCACCTGTCATCCATCCTCACCCTCTGGCCTCACCTGTCATTCATCCCCACCTTCTGGCCTCACCTGTCATCCCTCCCCATTCACCTGTTAATTTCATCCTCTGGCCTCACCTGTCATCCATCCTCACCCTCTGGCCTCACCTGTCATCCACCACACCCCTCTGGCCTCCTCACCTGTCATCCATCCTCACCTCTGGCCTCACCTGTCATCCATCCTCACCTTCCGGCCTCACCTGTCATCCATCCACACCCTCTGGCCTCACCTGTCATCCATCCACACCCTCTGGCCTCACCTGTCATCCATTCTCACCCTCTCGCCTCACCTGTCATCCATCCCCACCTGTTAGTCTCCTCTCCTCACCTCTTAGTCTCCCTCACTTGTCAGTCTCATCAGTGTTCTTCACCCTCCCACACCTGTCAGTCTCTCCCTCACCTGTCAGTCTCTCCCTCATCCTCCCTGACGTAAATTCATTCTCATCTTCACCTGTTAGCCTCACCTGTCACCTTACTTTCCTCACCCTCATCCCACCCCACGTGTCACTATCACTGTCATTCTCACTACCACCACCATTCTTACCATCACTATCTGACCCTCACTATCACCACCATTCCTACTATCACCATTCCTATTATCACCACCATTCCTACCACCACCATTCCACTATCACCACCATTCCTACCATCACCACCATTCCTATTATCACCACCATTCTACTACCACCACCATTCCTACCACACCACCATTCCTATTATCACCACCATTCTCTACCACCACCATTCCTACCACCACACATTCCTACTATCACCAATTCCTACTACCACCCAACTATCATCACTACCACCACCACACCATCTCACCATTACCATCAATTATTGTTTATTTTAACTATTGAAACATGTAATTGCAGAATATTATTATCCATTTTATTATTATTATTGATGTTTATTATTGCATGTATTATATATTTATGTAAGATATTCTCTATGTATTCTCTATGTATTTTATATGTGTATTATATGTACTGTTTATACTCATGGAAAAATACTCTCCCAAGATTTTAAAATTCATCAATAAATATTACATTATTATTATTATTATTATTATTATTATTATTATTATTATTATTTTTATTATTATTATTATGGTGAGTATTCTTGATATTATTATTATTATTATTATTATATTATTATTATTACTATTATTACTATTACTATTATTATTATTAACAGTATCAGAGGCTAAATAGCTTCTCAATGTTGTGTTCACTACAAGACGTTACCACACACGTTGGACAGGTTAATTAGTCATTTAGTGAGGCAGGTGTGATGTGTGTGTATGAGTGTTTGTTGTTCACCTGGCACCCGAGGAACCCCCCCTTTCCTCTTCTGCAGCTCCTCCTCCAGCCTCCTCCAGCCTCTCCCCCACTCCTGTCGTCGCCATCAGTTTAGCACACAAAGGGTTGAAGGGAGGGTAAGAAATATGAGAGAGGGGGAGGAAGGGGGGTAGGGAGGGGAAGAGGGGGTAGGGAGGATGAGGAGGAGGAGAAAGGATATTGGAGAAAAAGGAATAGTAGAGAAGGAGGAGGAGGGACGAGGGTTAGATAAAGAGGAGGAGGCGAACAAAGAGGTGAAAAGAGAGTAAAGGAGGAAGAGGAGAGAAGGAGGAGGAAAGTAAGAGGGAAGGAGGGAGAGGAGGGACAAGGGGTTAGATAAGAGATGGAGGAAGAGGAGAGAAGAAGAAGAAGAAGGAGGAGGAGGAGGAGGAGGAGAAGAAGACCGGTCTTGTCTCAGAGTGCCTCACCCCGGGGCCATTGTTGTCTCAGGAGCCTCAGCCAACTCTCTCTCTCTCTCTTGTCTCACTTTCCTAAGGTTCACTTTATCTTCTCTGCCATTATAGAGGTGCGCCATTATACTGTGTGTGTGTGTGTGTGTGTGTGTGTGTGTGTGATGGTGGTAGTGGTAGTGGTAGTGGTGACAGTAGTGGTAGTAGTGATGGTGGTTGATAGTGCCGGGAGGAGGAAAGAAGGGTAGTGGTGTTAACAGTGGTGATAGTGGTAGTGGTGATATACAACACTGGTCAGACGCCACTATGACAAGCTGCCTCAGACCTGGTTCGGTGTTTACATAAGGCTGGCGGCTATAGAGGATGGAGAGAGAGGGGAAGGCAGGCAGGAAGAGGGAGAGGGGGAGAGGGGAAGGGAGGAGAGAGGAGGAGGAAGAAAGGGAAGGGGGAGGGAAAGGAAGAGGTTCGAATACTGATTAAACAGGTAGTCCCCATAACCGATGCTCAATTGTTTTTATAAGGAGATTCTGATCGCCTTTATGATTCTAGGACTTGTTAATTATTCACCAGTTTGTTTACATTTATGCCTCCACACCATGACTACCACACCACACCACACACCACACCACACCACACTCTACCACCACACCACACACTCTACCACAGCCAACAAAGCAGTGGTCTCAGTATTAGGTTAACCCGACTGATGGATCAATAACATAGGTCATTTTCCCGGCCAGCTGGAGCAGAGAGGAGGGAGAAGGCGGCTTATTTATACAACATCAACAACAATGACGAAAATATTGTAACATTTATTTTATGTTACCAAAATACAACAATAGTGGGGTTAATAATTCACACACACACACACACACACACACACACACACACACACACACACACACACACACACACACACAAGATGAAATAAGCTAAGGTGTCTAATCTTCAGGAAATCCGTAACCTAACCTAACCCAACCAAGCCTTCAAATAATACTATATTTATAATGTTTATGTATTGTATATGTATGTGTATATGTACTGTATGTATGTATGTATATGTATGTATGTATGTATGTATGTATGTATGTATGTATGTATGTATGTGTACTGTAAACGGTATGTATATATAAAACGCTACACAACTCAATATTAATTAAAACATAAATACAGTGTTCTATTTCACTTCCATTACTACAAAACAAGACTACAGCTACATAAAGAATTACAGCGCCATAAAATATAACCTAAAATATATATCTGGTCATAATAAAACCATATATTTTAAAACATAGGGGAACTCTTAATGTATATACACGCCTTCCACTCACCGCCTACCTACCCCTCTAGCCCCCCACGCCTAGCTACCCCCACTCCGCCTCTACGGCCCCACGCCTAGCTACACGCCCACCCTCCACCCCTACACGACCCCACGCCTAGCTAACCCCCCCACACTCCGCCCTACACGACCCCCACGCCATACCCCCCCCTCCGCCCCTCGACCCCACGCTTCTACCCCCCCACTCCGCCCTACACGACCCCCACGCCTACTACCACGCCCCCCTTAACATTATACACGCCCTCTCTCGTGAAGAATAGAGAGAGGCTGAGGACCAGTTCAGTACCAGACTAATTTATTATGCAGGTGAGTGGGAAGTGAGTGTGTTGTGGTGAGTGGGAAGTGAGTGTGTTGTGGTGAGTGGGCTAGATGTCACCACACTAATGTTCTCTCTATCCTCACTCACACAGACAGGAGGCAAAAGGATTCTCAGAGTATCCTAAGCTTCTCTCTCTCTCTCTCTCTCTCTCTCTCTCTCTCTCTCTCTCTCTCTCTCTCTCTCTGGTACACACACACACACACACACACACACACACACACACACAACTAGATTTCAGAGGCGAGGAAAATAATTTTAATTTGGGCCGACATGAAAAATGTAATATACCGTATATATTTGGCGCTTTAGATATGTACGTATGTATGTATGTATTAATAGGTATATGTATGTATTGTCTGTGTGTGTGTGTGTGTGTTATTTGGACAACAGCAGGTTAACACGGTGTAAACTTGTACCATCAGGATGATACATGTCGTGTACAGGTTGTGTGTGTGTGTGTGTGTGTGTGTGTGTGTGTGTGTGTGTGTGTGTGTGTGTGTGTGTGTGTGTGTGTGTTCTGAGTCTTTGTTGTTATTATTTTCAATCAAACATAACACAACCCCACACTCACCCCCTCAGCCCCCACTTCACCCTCCAGCCCCACACTCCACCCCTCAACCCCCACACTCCACCCCTCAGCCCCTCCCACCCCTCCACCCCTCCCACCCTCCAGCCCCTCCACCCCTCCAGCCCCCCTCCCACCCCTCCAGCCCCCTCCACCCCTCCAGCCCACCTCCCCTCCAGCCCCTCCACCTCCTCCCCTCCACCCCTCCAGCCCCCCACTCCAGCCCCCACT